CTTGTAGAGCTTTTCACGCTGCATCTTCTGGTATAATTTGTTGAAGAAAGTTCTCTGAAATTTTTCGATTTATATCGATATGAAAAATGCAGCGAACTTTTTTCACATACCTTATATTCGATGATGAAGACCTGTTAAATATGAAAGTTAAGTTTATCAAAATATTTATATCCGTCTTGTTAGCATGATGATAATCAATCTCGTTATATGATTTCATTTGTGCATTCTAGATAAAGAAAACAAACACATAAGCGCTTTGAGAAGATTAAGATTCATTTTTTATTGATGGAGCTGTTTATGTCTTATGTTGCTTATAATAGAATATATACAATTTTTTTCATTATTAAATCAAATATACTGAGTAGAATGCATAGAGTTTAATGAGAAATAATCATGATTCAATTATACTCATTTTTTTTACACATGATTTCAATGGCAAGAGACGAAAATATGACGAAAGTAATTTCGTCATTTAACTGTGTGGTCATATATTAAAAAAATATCACAGAGTGAATAAGTTTCCCACCGTGATGTTTCTATCCCCGTCTATCTGTCTTTCACAGCATGCCCACTTTTCTTTTATTGTTTTTCACATAAGTTCTTCGAATCCTACCTCTCTAATATCGCATATGGGATTTTTACTTTCATATTCTTCTTGCCACCTTGGTTTTTCCTTTCGCTCTCATCTTCGTTGTTCGATTTTTCCCTCCTTGTTTATCATCATAGACATTGTCATTGGGTTCACTTATACCTACCGAACGTAATTTCACGATAAAAGACCTTCCGATCTGATATTCATCTTCTTCGATCGATAAAATTAGGCTCTTAGGGAGTTTACATTCTTTGTAAGGTGAAAGAAAAAGTAAAAAGAGTCAATTTTCTTTTGCTCTATGGACCAAAAAAGTGTATGCTAAAAGCTACAAGTGAATGCAGCATCAGCGTATGTCTACAGTAAAGTATACATTTCGTGTAAGTTCCTTATTTTTTTTACATATACAACCACAGACACAAACAATAGCTCTACTTAATCTTGTTGAGTGGTACTTGAATTATCAAAAAGGATTTATTCAAGCATTAATTCATATAAACATGACATGAATTTCTCGAGTTTATCATATTTAATAGAAGTACTCTAATCGTTTCTTTCTCTTTTTGTTTCTTGCTAAGAGAAAAAAGAACTAAGAAGCAAGAAAAATCATATTGGTTATGTTCTGAACATATTCTCAAAAATAATGACGTTCATTAGAAATATTTTAATAACAGTCATCTGTATAAAGGAGATAGTCAATAAAACAGCAGTAGAATCAAAGAAAAAAAATTATCTTCCTGTCTGTTTTTAGATATGATAAATTAAAGCATTTTTGTTTGAGAAAACAATAATCAAAATAATGGCAGCACGACAATTACCTCAAGAATTGATATTTATTTGTTTAAAATTTGGTATAACTTATCAATCAATTCAAATTGATAAATCAAATCCAAATGTTCTTAGGGAACTTCATCAAAATGCAATTGATATTGTATCAAAAGCTATTGGTAATCTCGAAATGAGTAATCATCATCATTGTATTAAACTATTTCTTATATCACCTGATCATCAGCCACCAAGTTTAAAATTAATAACACGTTCAAGTGATTTAACACCAGCATGTTATATTGAAATAATTATATGGCGCTCAGATCAAGAAACATTTACTCCACCACTTGATCATGTACTTGTTGAACATAATTTTAAAAAGCCTACACGTTGTGCAGCTTGTGATTATCCTATACGAGGTTTGATGAAACAAGTTTGTGTTTTTTTGTTTTATCCATTTTTATTTGACTTACATTTTTTTCTTACTTTACAAAAAAACAGGATAAACGATGCAAAGTATGTTCACGTGGTTTTCATCGTCGATGTGCTGAAAATTTACCAGCTGATTGTCCAGGCACAGATACAAGACGTGGTTCATTATTAAATCGTGAATTATCAAATACTACAGTTAGTTCAATGTCACAAGGTCATGCGTATACGGATAAAGATTTAGCAAGTGTAGTTACTACTTCATCAAAACGAACAAAATTTGGAAAATTCTTTAATGTTTCAATATCAAGACCTTCGTCATCATCATCATCAATGCTTTCAACATTATCAACGCGTGTAATATCATCAAAATCAATTTTAACAAATTCAAATAAAAATAATGACAGTCAAAATCTTTCAGTGCGTAATACAAATGAATCCTTGACACCAAATACTTTCAGAAATAATTCACGTCGAAATTCACGTTTTCAACAAGATCAAAATACAAATGTAAATTCTCGATCACCAATGGTAGCACGAAGAAATTTTAATCCAAACCAACATAGAGATATTAAATTAACAAATTGTCATGAAAAAGATGGTGTATGGATAGCAACAGGACAATACGGTCGAGAAAGTCGACATAGTCAACGTGCAGAGATCTCATATGATAAGAAAAAATTTAGATTTACACAAAAAGATGATCAAGGAACTACAAATGTTTTTGAAATATCAGTAACAGATGTTGAAGGTAAAATTTTGAAAAATCAATTGATTTAGAATATAGCTTGAAAAGTGAATAAGCATATGTTGTAAATTTTATTTATCAAAAGCACAACAAGCAAGGAAACTCATGTGACTGAATCTCGATACGTTAAAGAAACGAATTTGTTGTTTTTTGATTGTTATTAATGATGAATCTTAATTTGATTTTTTTAGGTTATCGATTTCAATTATCATCTAATTCAGCAGCAAATGGCACACAATTAGTTGATAATATATCTGGAACACAAACGGGGCAAGCAGTAGTTTATCGAAGATTAGCTTGTTTACTTCTTGATACAATAAATGAAGCTGTACAATCAACAAAAGATCATAAGGCACATTCTTCTTTTAAAATGGTTCGTGGTACTGAAAATGATACGAAAGATTTTTCTGATCTATATGATATGAATGAAAAAGATATACTTGGTTCGGGTCGTTTCGGTATGGTATTTGGTGGCACAATGCGTCGTAATGGTGTACGTGTTGCAATAAAAAGAATTCAAACAACACAATGCACACAAAAAGATCGAGAAAATATCGAACGAGAAGCTGATTATTTATTTCAACTTAATCATCCGGGTTTGTTTTATTAAATTTTA